TTGTTGCGATTGACAGGGGACTTTAATGATCCCCCCCCTTTAATGGTCAGGCATTAGATTCAGGTTATATGACTAAAACTCAGGGTATTCGGGTCCAGTATAAGGATTTGGAAACCGGCATTTGGAAAGGTCCTGCAGAAGTAAAACTAACTGGTCGAGGTTATATGTGTGTAATTACAGATTCCGGTCTGCGGTGGGTGCTGGCTCGATGGGTGAAACCCTGGAAAGAGCCAGCACCACCCCAGGAAAACCCCCTTGTCAGTGATTGAATTAATTGAAATTTTAGCTTAGGACTTCCGTATTATGGATGTTTTCAGTCCTTCTTGAAGTGAAGGGAGCAATCTTTTTTATGTTAAAGAAAAAAACAAACAAAACCACCATCCACCACCCCCCGAACCTACAGCGAGACAAACATGGGATACAGGCATATTGTGTGCGTTTTCGGTGGTGGGAAGGTCTTTCGTATGCTCTTATCAGGGGTATCGGGCATAAGGTGTCTCATTTAATGCAGTCTCTCTGTGATACTCGTGTGCTAGAAGTTGGTAAAAATAAGTATGTCCAGGTTTCTATCAACCTTTGGAGACCTTTCTAGATACTGCTGGCCACTTCTTCCAGCACAGGCTGGCCACCTGTGTCGGAATGAGTGTGCATTTTGGTCAGTATAAAAGCCCAAGCCTCATGCACTGTGGGGGAGGCAGAGCCTCTGCGGGGACGCCCGCTAAGGTTGAGCCTGCCACCTCACACTGCAATGATGCTTCTCGGAGCTGTTTTTCTGTTAGTCTCCACAGGGTCCTTGTACCACATTCTGTACGTGGAACTGTAGGGGGAGTAATGATTGTCTGGATTTTGTGCTTCAAATACTGTAATTGTGTGGTGTGTGCTTGTGGGATCCCATGCGCGCGTGTGTGTTGAGGGCAGACGGTGTTCTGCGTATTTTTTGTTGCTGGTTTCATGTAAAAGTTTTTAACTGGTAGCTGCTGCTGAGCAGGCCGGCTTTTGCAGGGATCAAAAAAAAAAAAGGGGGGGGAAGAGCAATGATGCAGCAAACTCCTCGACAGTTAACAATGTGCAGTTTAACCTGTCTGCTTCTCAAGAACTGATAACCTGGACTGCCTGCAAAGTATGTCAAGCCTTGCCATGAGCTGGACAGACCTGGAAAAACCTGATGCCTCAGCTACAGGAGCTGACCATGAATACCCCAAGATAGAGGAAGAGAAAAAATGAATAACTGCAAAACATCACTTGGGGACAACTGAAAAGTAACATCCTGAATATGTGTGCTTGTAAAGTAGCTATTATTAGAGGCTGTGATTTTGTATATGAAACCACCTGTATTTACTAGCTATTATTGGCTAATAAGAAGCTACACCTTTTATTGCATAGATTTGTCACTTGTAAAAGAGATGTTAGAGTATGGAAATTTGCAGTAGCTGCTAGAAAATGCTAAGGCAAAAGATAGATTTTAATACAATGGTAGTGCTATAAAACAGGTGATGGAACAAATTAAGAGGGTGGGAGAATTCCGCTGGTACGAAATTTCTTTGGCTGGTCTCTCGCTGCCACCAGTGTCTTCAACATGCTGCTGCACCCTGTAATAGTTACTCTGCTAATGTAAATTTGTGTGTGCCTTGCTGTAGTAGCGACTTGTTACTGGATGAAGCAGGTGAAACTCTGCATTAACAACAAGTTGCATGGACTGAGGCTGACAAAATGCCTGCTAGGCTAGAGCAAGACTGGGTTGGCCTCTGTGTTTGCCACCAAGAAGAACCTTTAGCTCTGCTGTTGGCTGCAACCCAGCAGGCGTGGAGCAGTGGGGACACATGCCATGCCAGACCTTGATGTGAGGGATGGCCTCCCCTGTTACCAGAGAGCCATACAACAGAAAAAAGGGGCAGGCCCAGCAGCCTGTAGTCGGCATATGTTGGAGATATGATCTAGCCCAAATCCCCTGCTCAAGTAGAGTCACCCAAAACGTATATAAAACAAAAAGGGGGAGATGTGGAGACAGTGTTCTCACGGGAGAATGGATAATTGGTACATAAACTCTGAATAATCATGAAAGATACAGCAAGGCCATGAGAGGCCCAAGGAAGTTTAAGCAAGCAAGATAAGAAGAAGCTAGAATTCACTGAGTTAACGAGAACTGTGGACTGTTGGCAAGCTTTCGAGGTCAAGTTCCCACACCTGTGCTTAACCAATTATATGCTAGTTGCAAAGGGTCTTCAAGACATGTATCCAATCATAATATGCCAAATCACTGGAAGTGCATGTAAGAAATAGTATTTAAGGGGTTAAGGCTTTGTAATAAATGGCTTTTTGTCTGATCATATTGATCTTTGACTGAGTCCATATATTTTCTGTGGCAGCCAGGTAAAGGGACTGAAAACATGCTGAAGCAAGCTTTTTAATTTTTTTTTATTTTTTTTTTTTTTTTTTTTTTTTACTTTTTATTTGATTAATGCAAAACAAGCAAGTTAGATAACCCCACCTCTGAGACCTAGAGTCTAAACAAGAGAAAGCCAGTTCTATACAGAGAATGAAATGCCTGGAATAGTAAATAATAATGTGACGGCTGTTCAGGCTAGTATACTGTATGCCTAGAGATGAATAGCTTAACAGGGCAAGGCTGATGCTTCTGCCATGTTTGTGGAGCCTAAGAGATAAAGAATAAGAAACATGCCTGCCAAATGAAGTTGAAAGTGTGATTTACTTCCAGCTTTCCTTGCCAAAGCCTGTTTCTCAAATATCACTTGAATTTATCCCAAGCACTGGCGTACACATCTCCAGTTGGATATGTCATTTATTTCTCCCAAAGACAGGAACCCAGGATGTGTTTTCACCTCTTTGCAGGTATATTAAGTTCTACTGGGTTTAGACCTAGCTTAAAGTCTCACTCTGTTTCTTTCCTTTCTGTCCCCAGTCTCAGTCACAGACCTAAGAATGCCTCAGTGCACTGTTTTTACCTACAGAAACCTGAACTCTGTGCAAAAAGAAGATTTAAACACATGTAATGGACACCCCTAATACAAGTGATATTGTTAGCAGAACCACTGTTCTTCTAGTAATTCTATTTCACTCACCAGCTCTAAGACCCCCATTATGTATCTGGCCAGAGTTCCTTTATCCAAAGTGTCTTTTTAATTCGCTACTCCATTTAAACTTTAGTATCTCAAGTGCAAGAAGCCCCTGACCACTGCATGCAATTTATATTTTCCATCCATTCCCGCTTCCCTCTCAACCTAACATCCTGCCCTTCAGAGAAGGGTGCAATCTTCATGCACATTCACCCAAATTCTGACCAGCCTGTTTCTTGTGAGATCACAATTTATGGCCTCCACATGTTCCTAAATACCAGCATACTTCTTTTAAACAAACCTGGATGGGGATGTTTTTACAGTCGGTCCTCTCCCTATTAGAAATATTTGGTCAGTCTGGCTCAAGTTTTCACCTCCCCCAAAAACCATTCATAAAGCATTCCCATGTCAGATGGGCAAATGAATAACCCCATTTTCAGATACCATTTTCCACTTATGACTCTCCATAGGGCTTTACAAAGGAGATAGAGGTGTTTATCTCATTTAATGAATGATGGAGACAAATACATTCAATCCACAGCAAGATAGTAATGACTCCTTCAGATGACTGGGAACTCTGTTCACTAACACTACTGGTGTGGGATTTCACTTTCACACATAGTACTTTTCACGTGAGGAAAACCTACACAAAGATCACCTGGTTCTTCACAAAGAAATTTGAACTAACATAAGAAAACCATTTGACACAATACGTTATTGTGTAAAAGTATGCTATTTTAGTGGGCTACCCAGGCCTCAACAGTTTTGGCCAGGTAGTTGTTAATTACCATAAATTTCTTTTCTCTGTATAAGCAACAGTTTCCAGAAACAGAGAAATTAAAACATACTAAGAATGATAATGACTATCTCCATAGCTTGAAACTTACAGCTAAAGCTGCTGGTTATGAAGTAGTAATTACATTAATGGAATTTCTGTGGTTGTCTTTACGAGTAAATTAAAATAGGTTATCTGAATTTACTTATCTCCAGACTGGGATATAAATCTCCAGAGTTTATTGACCTCCTTTAAAGACCAGTAAAACTATACCTATATTGATTTATCCCATATATTGAAAGCTCTAACCAAACTGAATTAAAAATTCCAGTTCCGTTTTCATCTTTGTAGAATGAAGTCACTAAAAGCAAGTACACAAAACTGTAAAAATTTGACAGGAGGAGGAACAGTTCAGACAATGCATTTGTTCTTAAATGTTTCAAACAATTTTATTAATCATGTTTTACATGTAATCAGACCTAACCCCTGAAGTGCAAAAATGTTTCTGAGGTATTAAGACTGGAGGAAAACAGGCACAGTGTTGGTCATAAGGGATACCACAACGCAGTGGACTTTGTGAACAACAGGCATTTGCAGGATCAGAGAAAACTGAAAACAAGTCTGCATTTATCTTTAGCCTGGAGAGACAAAATCCCTGATCAATAGCCAGTAGCATCACATCAATGAAATTACAGACATGGTTAACACGGAATGATAAATATCAATGAGGTGTTCCTAGGCACATATGTACAGTATATGAAAAACGAAATTAAACTGGTGTAAGTGTAGCCAAAATCCCAGTCATCTAGACAGTCCATCTTAATATATGTTGTATCTACAGCAGCCTCTAATACCAGTATTTTTGTCTGTTCTACATAGAACTGACTGCCCTGTTTTCCTGTTTGAGGGACCTGGTCACTCACACTCCAGTTAACTGTGCTTTATTAGATTAACGAGTCAATAGTACAGTACTGCTTACGACTTGTTATCCCTCTAGTTGCTTTCTCCCCCTCATCCATGCAGTGAAGTCTAATTCATGCAGGAAATCTGCTAAAGAAATAAGCACTGATTTACATCTCTACATGTAGAAAGCAAAGCCTTATCCAAAAACTGCAAAGCTCATGGGGCAGAAGTGGCCCTTACAGATTAGGATATTGAGACTTTTTCTCAACTGCCAAGTTTTGCTCCAAAAATAGTTGTGTATGAGGAAAGTACAGGCATTACTTGCTTGTATTAGCTTGCCTGCTCAAGGAGTTGGGTAGGGGAAGGAATACTTTTCCCCTTGAAGCAGTTCCTGAGGTTAGAATTTGACTGAAGGCTGTAGATGTGGCAGTTCTTTGCAGAAGTAACTTGCTGCTAAACATCATTTAGATTTAAAGTCCTCACTGAGTCTCACTCAATGATTTTGCTGGGAAAAGATTTTTCCACCTCAAGAACTGCAGCGTTGTTCCCTGGGACCAACTGCAGTTTGTCTCAAACTATGTGACTTAAAGATACTCAACCAAATTATGCCCTTCATATGATATCATCACAATTCAGTGGAAGATACATCTAAGAAAACATTTCTAAATGAACAATAAGCAAAAATCACTTGGTTCTAACTCTCTCTCGAGATACTTTTAGCCAAGATAAACTAAAACAAAGTCCTCTTGAGACATAAGTGCCTTCAGATCTGTGAAAAATACCATGACAAAATAAAAGTTATCCTTTTAGTAGGTGTGTATGGACTTAAGAAAGTTTCTGAATGTGTCAGCTTTATTGCAAGCATGGCATGCTCGTAAAGATTCTCACCTTGAGTATTTTCAGCTTTGAGACCTCACTGGGAAGCTGGAGACACAAGCTTTATTGTCAGCACACCCCTGGGCATGATGTTATACAGTCTGATCACAAACACAGTTGAGATTCTCATAATTTTCTAGGATTGTTACCAATGTTACTGCTGCTTACCTACACAACATCATCTAGCAAAACAAAAATACAGAATAGCTGGAATAGAAGCTGGATACAGCTGGAGTATTGCCTTAATATTATTTTTTAATGGAATCATATTTCATGGACAAGAAAGGCAGCCCTAAAGAAAAAGTGCAAGTAAATCATCAGTTTCAGTTGAAAACTGGGTTTTGGATGCCAGTCAAGACTGAAAGGTTGGGCCACTTTCTGTGCAGAAGGGTTACGGAGCATACAAAAAAGAAAATGCTTGTGATTCCTAGGATGACAATGCCTGAAATCAGTGCAGTGGTGATTGAGTTCAGCTGGAAAGGAAGTCCATCTGGATGAGCTGCAAGGAGAACAGAAAGGCACAGGTAAATTCTGGTTACAATCCCTCAGCAGTGCCAAACACTCCTGTCTCTTCATCACCACACCCTACATACAGAAGAATTACAATGAAGGGAATAAAACTGTACTTCAGAATGAGCAAATGTTGAAAGTAGTTATTAGTTCTTTCAATATCCATGATATTGAGGGATAAAGAGAGTAAGGGTACTTATAAAACATAATCCTTGGTATGCTAGTGACTGACCTTAATCTGTGCTATTTAAGACAAGACTACTGGCGTCCAAGAACTATCAAAACAGAGGTATAAGGATCTGTGGCCTAAACAAGTTAATGAAAGGGTTTCTTCCCTCATTATCAGTATTCGCATCTCAATTCAAAGTGTGTATAAACCCTAAACAAGCATATCTAGCAGCAAATAGCTGAGATACTTCAAGTTAATCTGTATACCTTCACAGAAGGCTTCTAAACACATTTATCAATTCTCAGAAGAAGTAACATATTTACTATTCAGCATAGCTCAGCAGGCTATGAACCAATCCTGGGATGCTGGAACACACACATTCAGCCTGTACCATCTTTTCCAACAGGAGGCGAAAAACACATTTGAGTGGTATGTGCTACCTGAAGCACCAATGTGCATTTGCCTAAGAGAGCAATTTCCAGTGCTGGACAGTGAGAAGAAACAACAACACAGCTTCTCCATGGGAAACCAGACTGCTTCTCCCAGAAACATCCACTTCCCCTCAACGTCATCAAGGATAATGGTAAGGAAAGGTAGCAGCCAGTAACACAGCAAGCTGTGTGCAGCAAATGAAGAGTTTGGGTTTTATTATTTTAATGATATCCATGGGTAGGAGCACATCATGTAGCAGCTCATTATAGGGAGAACTTTGTTTCTATGCCAGGAAAGAAAGGTAGCTGCTTTTATGCAGTCTAAGTTGAGAAAAGAAGGGAATAAATAGTATTGCAGTTCACAGGACAGGATAGGTTGGTTGTACCAGTCCTGTTATGAACAAGTGAAAGGTGGAATGGTCCAACGGACCACCTGGTTACCTTGAATATCTTTTCTTGTTGTCAGCTACTCCTTGTTATGAGCAGAGAAGAGTAACAGGATGAAACAAGTCCTCAAAGTGCCCAAAGGAAAAGCAACCTAAAAAAGACCTGATCTCCCCTACAGCCTATTTCCTTCATTGCCCTAGCAGACCGCAAGTTGCAAACAAGCTTGCCCATAGGCTCTTTGTGTGGTTAAATGCTAGGAAAACAGAAGCTGAAACAGAGCTTTTCTTACTTTGAACTCTAAACTGAGCTAGACTGCACCAGTTTGCTGCTCTACTCCTGCATGACATGAGCAGAATTTACTGTTTAAGTCTGATATTCCACCTGGCAGTTGCAATGTTCCCTCACCATCATATGTCCTAGCAGAAGATTTTCAATTCAATTCCATCATAAGAATTACAAATTTCTATGTTGGTGGGGCTAGGTACACAAATCAAACTGAGCATTCCAAATTCACCAATTGATTTCTTTACAGCATGTCATTATTGACTCATTAAACTGAAGGGAAAAAAAAAAGCAGATAGAAAAGCATTCCAGCTAAGTACATAGAGCTCAATCAAAATGGTTTATTTCCTCAGTTCTGTTTCACTCATAAACCCTCTTTTATGTTTCTTGAAGTCTGGTTAACTTACCAAGCTGTGAATTGTTGGTTGTTGTCTCATCTACAGAAAACAAAAACAGGATGCATTATATTTTACAAATACCTCTGCCTACTGCTCCCCTCCTTGCAATACAAAAGCCAATAGTCCTAGCTATACTTGCAACACTGACTAGTAGTTTTTAGCATCTCTGGTAGAGTAAGGAGAACTCCACCAAATACATGAAATTGCTTTGTTTGTAATGTGAGCACACCCATGTGAAGTTACTTAATAGTCTGTTGAGGAAAAAAAACCAAATTACCAGCCACCAAAGAAAATTCACCTGGCTAACCTGAGGTGCCTCTGCAGACACTAATGTGCATGGCACCAGCCCCAGACAGATGCAGCACTAGGCTATGAGGGAAGTGAAGAGTCCATGGAACTGCAGACTTAACACTGGCACAAATACCATGGTGAGTGAGGTGCAGCATTGATGGGCTCTGTACTAAAGTTGGACCAGAGCTGGCCTTGAAAATAGTATAAGTATCTCCATGCAACACTGCACCAGAGTAAGCCAGCACTCCTCATTCAAAAATCAGATCATCCTGTTTTAAGTTCTCTCGTGACCTTTCCTCTTTTCTTTTCTTGACTCTAATATTCATGAACCTCACATTGTCTTCACAATGGGAAGGGAAAATGTGAAGAAATATTAATTCCCTCTTTCTGCTCCAGAAGGAAAAGTGAAGTGCAAGTCAGATTAAGGGACTTCCATAATGCCACTCAGGAAATTTGTGATAGAGTTCAGAACTGCATCCCATTTTTTAAAGATTTCTTCCCATCAAACCATCCTCCTGACACCAGTAGTGGGATGCTCCAAGAGCATAACATGGACATGCAGAAATATGTTTAACCTAAAAAGCTTTAGCCACATACCTCAAGTAGGTGATACCTAAAAAAAATTATTTTCCTTTTCCAGCCTTATTCATGTTTTCATTTAAAAAAACCTCAACAGTTATAATTAAATCATTTACCCTTTCTTTGGGTAATTAAAGAGCCACAGACAGATTTTTCTTGAAATTATGCAGAATTTTAAGGTAATTGATAAATAACCTTATTTTTTTCCAATTGTAAAAATAGAATTCACAGCCTTTGAATCATAAGCTATATTACCTAATAAGGTTACTCATATAACAAGCCTTATCTGGTTTCCATTCCTCACCCAAGGCAACATTTCTCTAGCATACATGTTTGAGCAAATCTCTCATTGATTTCCCATAAATATTCATGCATGCAACTCTGAAGTTAGTTCTTTTCACTTTTTCCTTGACTAATCAGATGGCAGCAACTCAATTGGGTCTACATATAATGCAGAACACCCCCCCGCTTTTTTTTCATTGCAGAAATGTTTTTTTAACAAGGGGTATTTGTTCTAAAAATGGTCTTTTGCTAAGATGGTTCCCTATTCTGAAAGGTCAGTTGTTCTCTTTGTATATGTGGGCACAACCACTTTGTGTGTGAAGAAGGATTTTATTTCTCAAGTGTTTAAATTATTTCCATCTAATTATTTCAGATGAAATGCATTCCTTCTCTCAGCTTCCTGAACCTAAGACTGCTGAAATCAGTTTCTTAACTGCAATTACTTTTACATGTCTGTAAACTTAAATTTTTAAACTTTTTCAAATATTTGATTATTTTGTCAACAGCAGTCTCAAATTCTTTTCAGAGACTGCAGGTTGCATTTAAAGCTGCCTTTTTAAACCAAACAATGCTTTGGCAGTAAAAATGGAAGTCAATGGGATTTAAAAGAGCAGATACTGGCTGACTCTGTTTAGAATTTACAGTGTGTTTGTCTTGTTTCTGCCTTATACCTGAACGCAAAGCAAAGCATGTATTAATTTTTTGCAACACTTAGGTAAACACCCAGAGGTGAAGCTGGAAGAAACAGTGAATAGAAAGTGACAGTGAATACTCATTAGCTGTCCAAATTAAATTGCAACACTGAACACAGTACCTTAAATTCCATTATTGGCAGTGAAATCTGACCAAAAAAAAAAAAGATGAGTCATCAACCCACTGAGTTTAGGTTTTATAATGGCCTTATGCACATAATGATATCCCACAGTGATTTGACTGGAAGCATGTGAGAGACAAACAGAAATATTGGCTCAAATTTTCTACCGAAGACTGCAACAGTAAGGGAAAAAAATAGCACCACAATCTCATGGAGAATCCACCCTTTCCTTAAGTCACTGAAAATTTATATTAAACTGCAAAATATTTCTCCAGATTTCTGGAATTTCTGCAGTCTATAGGAAAAGTTTGTTCATTCCTACCACTCCTTGTAATGATGGGGCCAGCAGAGATTACAGCATTGCCAGAGGTGCTCTGAGGGCTCCAAGTTGTCCTCCCACCAGTGTCTCTTCTTTCTCTGTTACTGCAAATCTGAGCGGTTAATAAAAACAATCACAGTTTCAGAGTGGAATGGAATTATTGCCCTTCTGTGCTTCATGCTTTAATGCAAACTCTTTTATAAGCAATACTACAACTTTGATTTTATTTCTTAGCATGCGTTATATTACTTTGCAATAAAAATAGCTACAATATTCCCTGGAAGTGTATCTTATAAATGCCTTGCTTCCTGTTGATTTTTTCCTTTCTTTATTTACAGAGCTCCGTTGCTGTTGTGCACAAGATCCATCCTATAGTATATTAAATTGTCAATAGGTAATTTCTCAAAGCTTTGTTTACAGACAGTTTTTTCCCAACAAACATATTTTTCTTGACTAGGGATAGAATACATGCTACAATCCTTATCCCAGAAAGCTTCTTGAGTTAAAATTTATACATTTTCCATAGAGTTCTATATAGCAATGACATATTAAAACAATCCCCAGCATTCTGTCATCTGGAATCCACCTTTACCATCTCTAACTTATCTACCATTATCTTAAGTATTCAAGTATGCTTCAACCAAGAGTTTTTCTTTAATTTCAACTTCATGTGAAGGAACTTGGACAAACTCAGCACATCAATTCAATAGAAACAGTTATTTTAAAGTGTAACATAAAAGTATAAACATTGTACAAAATGTCAGAAGCATAGTGAACTGATAGCATTTTAAAATTCTAAATGGGAAGTCATTCAGTAGGAAATGATACTGTATTCTGAAGACACCACAGAATATTCTGTGTTTATTTAGATGTTTCAGTTTCCAAAATATATTTCTTGTTACTGACACTCCTAAACTGAAATAATTTTTAATTGTCATAACTTCATGAACTTCAACAAAACAGCAGTTTCCAAACTATAAGGAGTGTGGTGATTAACTATAGGGAATGTAATTCCTCCCCCCCCCCCCTTCCCAACCCCCATCAGAAACTTTCAAATTTTCCTTGACGGTATCATGGCACTTTACTATAGGTTTAAGTTTTCCATAAGTTCCATTCTAAGATACTCCTATTCATCCACTGCAATTGTGGATATTTTTTTTTTTTAGATGCAGTACTAAGAATACCAGCTCTGAAGCTATCTGTTTTCAACTTTTACAAATGAATTAAGGACTAAAAGGCAAACAGGTAATGTCTCATGTGTTCAACAACCTGCATTTTGCAGATCTAGTAGTATTCTGTGTCTGGATGACAATATTCATTGCTCTGTTCATCAATTTTATGTTTCTTCAGACACAAAGACATTCTTCAGATTACAAGTCACCTTAATTCTGTGCCATCGAAACTTCCATAGCATTTGTATGCAGAATAACTCCAGTGTGCCTAGTTTAATTAACAGCAGCTTCCCTTCACTGAAACTTACTGGCACAAGAAAGGGACAGTCATCTGCTCTGCACAGCTTTGTCACGCAGTGAAGGAAGACCGTAGACATCTTCTGGTTCTTGTGCTTCACAAAGCGAAACACCTCAAAGGAAAACCGGCCCATTTGGCTCTTGCCATTTTCAATTATAGTTGTCTGTGGGTCCTTGTCACAGCTAGTTTTTGTAGAGAAGATTGAAACTGGGATAAGCAGCTGTATTAGCACTCTGAAGTTCTAAACTGAGAATAAGGTCACTTAGTAAGTTCAATGCTACAGCTCCTTGGAAAAGAGCACAGCAACCTAATGTGAAACATGGGAAGCCACAATCTGCCTGTTAGGCTGCACCGTCCTGTGCTGAAATACATTTCTACAAAAAACAATGTTTTGTTTTGCAACACCACAGCTATAACCAAGGTACTATTTAATTCAAGTCCCCAGAGAAACCTGAGACTTGAAGCAAAGAGTAATCAGGTGAGCACCTCCCATATGAAGACAGGCTGAGAAAGTTGGGGCTGTTCAGACTGGAGAAGAGAAGGCTGCGTGGAGACCTCATAGCAGCTTTCCGGTATCCAAAGGGGGCCTATAGGGATGCTGGAGAGGGACTCTTCATTAGAGACTGGAGTGACAGGACAAGGGGTAACGGGTAAAAACTCAAACAGGGGAAGTTTAGGTTGGATATAAGAAGGAAATTCTTTCCTGTTAGGGTGGTGAGGCACTGGAATGGGTTGCCCAGGGAGGTTGTGAATGCTCCATCACTGGCAGTGTTCAAGACCAGGTTGGACGAGGCCTTGGGTGATACGATTTAGCATAAGGTGTCCCTGCCCACGGCGGGGGGGTTGGAACTAGATGATCTTAAGGTCCTTTCCAACCCTAACGATTCTATGATTCTATGATTCTATGCTAACAGGCAACTCAAAAACATAGACAATATCCCTCTAGCAACTGGCACTGCTAAGATTTAATCTGAGATATGCCAAGATGTTTTTCAAAGTTCCAATTCAAATAAATGTTACTGCTAGGAGTAGAAGCAGGAGCATTTGTCTTTAATCATTTGCTTAACTGCTTTCCTGAACTGGAGTCTGTGATGTTTTACATCACTGTCATTCACCACAATGGTGCCTTTAGTAAAATAAAGGCCAGTTTAGCTATTCAGTTTGTGTGCTTACGGTATCTCTAGTAGAGCCATTTTGGATATATGCTTCTCTACCTTCATAATTCTTATGACATTGCTCTTGCTTCTGTGTTCATGTTCACCAACCAGATAAGTCCTGACATGTTATCTGTAAGCCTAGCCTTTGTTTCTCCCTGCTATTATTGCTTAAACTTTCCAGGTAGTTTGGAGCACTGCTATTGGAAAGATTTATAACTGTATTTTAAAGAAAAGACCCATGAAATACTGAGTGTGCACAGGACCTACCTGAAAAAAAGATCATATCGGAGATCATCGCTAGGATTACCAGATGGTGTGGTGTAACAGTAGTCCATCAAAACATTCCACCTGCACAGGAAGCAAAGTGATAGATGAGGTGAACTAGCAATGTAAGAGTAGGGTTAGAAAGCAAATGAGGTAAGATTAAGAGCAGTAAGGCAAGCATACAAACTGATAATGCAGGCTGTTACACTGAAGCTGAGCTGCTGTACTTAACAGGTCACATAGAAGTGATCTGGCATTCTCAATATATTACCTGTTTCTTCCCACTACTTAAAAAGTTAAACAGCACAGTATAGCAGCAGAATTGTATAAATCAAATAATTTGGTTTCATGCAAGTCAGCTGTCACACCAACGCAGGTTGTGTACTTCCTGTCAGAAGTCATGGTTGCATAGGACTAGAAATAAAAACCATCCCACTTTTAAAAGCCCTAGAATTTCTCACTTGATCAAGTTCCTTTCTTAAATAAGAGCAATATACAATTTAAATTACTATTCAGGAGAACTTTTATCATGAGGACAGCAGCAAGATATGCATTCAATTCACAATCAAGGACCTGATACCTCAGAGCTGAGGGCAGTGATTATCAAACAACAACCAATATTTTGACATGTAAAAGTCTATGAAGAAAGCTGCTTCTAAATCAGAAAAATTTGCAACACCAAAAGCTAAATAGCAAGCAAGACAAGAAATAACATCCTTCATGGTACCTGCCATCAAGGTTGGTTGCTCTTACAGCTGCATATATTTTGGTTTTCAAAGGTAAACCTGTACTTGGAATAAGGAGCTGATGGCTGTAGGTTGAATCCTGAAAAACAAACATTGCCTCAGTGTACCAGAAATTCTACTGTAACAGTCCACCTGCAGCCACAGGCTGAGCTTCCATCTAATTTTTCTGACTGAAAAATGTGGGACAGTCATTTACTTTGTCCTCCTTAAACGGAAGTAAAAAGCAGTGCCAGAGCATTTGGCTACAAGTTTGTAAAGATGAGAAACATTTAATTGGCCTTATCCTATGCAATTATTTTAGGGAAACTGCTTATGTTTATGAAGTGGCTGGATTCTTAATTAAAGAAAATGTAGCAATCATTAACATCTCATTAAGCCTCGCAGCACCTATAGGCAAATATATCAGCTACTGTAGTTTTCTAAAAGAGGAGCTTGACTAGATTGTAACAGTGCCGCAGGAGATAGCGTTTATATATCTTAAGCTGTAGTTTGGGAAAACAGACACATTCTATTTTGCAAAGTGTAGTTTTGATGGAAGTTGGCTTGTTGATAACTACAAGTAAACATTTTCATTTAAATTCCAGTATTTAAAAAAGCTGTTTCAAGAAAGCTGTATATAACATAAAAATTGGGAATGCCCCATATACTGCTACATAGATATAGCAGTTTTACTGGTTTCTTGTTCAAAGGCTGAGCCATTCATGTCAGCACAGCAGCAAAGTTACAAAGCGGATGTGAGTGACAGATGTTAATTCAGCATATCAAAATGCACATACTGGTAACATCACCTACGTCAAATTGGTTGCTAACTCCGAAAGCACAGGGGCTTAGCACTTTTGAGACCTGGTCAAGGTCAAAACACTCAATACATAGAAACAGTTTTGTTATAAGCAGGATTTTGACCAGGTTCAGTGTGGCAGGCACGGCCAAGACCAGCAGCTGACAGCAACAAGGATTAAGCACAAAATCACCTATGTTTTCCAAAAAGAACAATGCCAAAATTCAGAGCATGCCAATATTAAATCTCTGCAGCATCAGGGCCCTTGGGAAGTGTACATGCACACACAGACCAGCTCTGTGACATACACAAGCAAGTCCTTGACAAACCATTTAAGTAAGTTCAGGTAAGTTTCCTTTCTTTAAAATTAACTTTACATTTCTCTAATAGGTAGCTCTGTCACATTTTGCAACTGATTAAAAAGTGCACAGAAAGTCCCTCACTCTTGCATTCCATGGTTCTTATTTTCTTAAAGAGTAGGTTTATTCAGTTAGACAGATATTTACAGGAAAACCTAAAAGCACACAACCACTTAGGATCTGTGAAAGCCCAATAGATATCTTGCTATTAAACTCTTGAGTCTATCATGTCTCCTCTTGTCTTTCCTAACAATAACATGCTAACAACATAAACGTAAACATCACCTTTTGAGGGAATATGGAAGCGAGCTGAAAGATGAAGAATCAATGTTAGGAAATAACATTACAGCTAAAGTTTAAAAGTATGGCTGCTTTCAGTCAAGAGCCAAATCTGTACACAACCCCTCACCAATGCCAAGGGTGGACAAGAGCCTTGAGGTCCCTCCCAAATCCAGAACTCCCTAACAGGGACCAAGTGAGGCTGCAGAATGTTCCCTAAAAATGATGCCTGATAGATTGAAAAATTGATATTTAAATCAGGTATATAAATGGATGAGTAAAAATTTTAATCAACATAAAAATATCATTTTGGGGATATTAAGTAAAGGTACAAGAATTTTTCATCTTTTACTGTCACCATCCACATTTACGTAGTAAAAGCTTTTACAATAATGCATATCAAAGTTAAATTACTAAAACATATGGGAGCAGTGTTAGAAAATGTTAAAATTATTAACCCTTCAAATCTTGGAAGTCCATGCAATGAGGTCACAAGTGCAGTGGGCTTTTTTGAACAAATTCCACAGCCCTCAATTCAATTACAGGTGACCAAAACATTCTGATGAAGCATGAACATAAAAAATACCCCAGCAAGAGTGCTCCAGGTTATTACTAAGGGAACAGGTCTGGAATATTTTTACGGAATTCTACAGAGCACTCCCTGTGTCAGTACAATATACACATACACAGACATACATATATAGTAACATAATAAATGCAAATAAATACACTTTGGAGTACGATCATTATTACTACAACTGATTAGTCATGTGGCACTACAACCTGAAAGCCAGAGCTCTAAACTGGGGAACTGTATAAATACAGGACAAAAAAAGACTCTGTCTGTCCTCAAAGACCTGCCATACAAATACAGGACAACAGGTACATGCAAACAAAAAGGACAAGGAAATTCAGAGATAAAAAGGTGCCTGGATGAATGTCCTGGTTCATGGGAGCAGTGGGAAGGGAATAGCAAATAATAAGGAAGAGTCTGTACTTTGTTCTGCTAATCTAGCTTGTACCCACATAGTGCGCAGCAATGGTTTTAATTCAGGTCATACTACTGTGTTTTTTACTCACATTGTAAAGCAACAAATTCAAAGTGCTGATAAATGTACCATTGTTCTCTCTTACAGAAATAGCAGCTGATGACCTACAACAGAAGCAGAAACCAAAAAATATCATGAAGATATCTTTGTGTGTGTTTACGTACTTCATCGGTTTTTATCATTAAAAAAAAGCCAATGAGTCATATTGCAAGAAGTTATAAACTTCAGAAATAGGAATTTATAGTTGGAACATTGACAGAACCTTAACTATGAAGAAAATAATGGATACTGTTGAAAAAAACACATCAGAAAAATAATCAGTAGAAAGGCAAAGTGACAAAAGGGTCATGATGTACAAGGTATAGTCATGGAAATATTTTATTTTGAACTCTATATTCAAATGCTTTCAAACTTTCATCAAGAATTTTAATTATTCTGCTGCCTCTATTTTGTCATCAGACAACCTGAGTTTTAAAGGAAACTTTACATTATTTAAGGCAGGCAGGCAGCTCCTCATAAACTGTTCTCTCATACAGTGATGTTATAGTATTTTCTTTTCCTTTGCATCACCTCTTCTTTCAGTGCTTTTCCCTTCCTCTTTACTCTTGCACAGCTAAAAATTACTGTGTTGACAATACTGCTATGGCATGCATATGCTTAGGTGTATGTGCATGTGTGTGCATACACATGGGCTTACACAAACATGGGAATGAAACATATAGAAATAAAAAACACACTTACGAAGCAAGCTGGGTATTGTTAACCAAGTACTCCAGTGGATAGCTACAGCTAAATTTGTACAGCAACCCAGGCAAATAGCTGATAATCGTTGGTGGGTCTGGTGTATCAATATAGCCTGAAACATTACCTATCTGTACCACTGAGGTATTTCCATAAGCATTGATACCTCGAACTGAGGATACCTATTGAGGGAGATAAAAATTCCTATTACCAGAAAGTTAACAATGGAACAAAAATTACCTAAGGACACTGATGCTTTGGCCCATAATTCAGCCAGAGATACCTTCAGAAAAGCCTTCAGAAATTAACTGAGCTCAATAATATGTTCCCTGTGTTTTGTTTTTCACCTACCCAAAATAACGCATATACACTTCATGAGAAATATCCCTGTTCTTGAAACAGACTTGAGCAACACTAAAAAAAACCTCACGACTTACTGAGAAAAAAAGCTGAAGAAACATTCTGAGTACAGTTAAAATATATTTGCTTAAAATAAATTTCCATATTCAGTAAAGCCAATACACAAGACATTTCGTTCATAGAAACAACACTCTGTCACTCTTGAGCTTTGTTTTCGACACATCAAAAGGAGTGTACTTTGTAAGCAGATACAAGCCAAACAGCTGAACTTCAAGTCTGGTTTTGTTTACGTTCGACACATCTAAATTTAAATTATAAACTATGTGCAAAGAAACATTGTCAGAAATGCCAGAGCTGAAAAGTAATACAATCTTAATGCCAATGCAACCTTAATTCTGTCGCTGAATGTCTGCTATCCTGTACTGCTCAGGCTCACAGAGTGAGCTGAGCCAGAAATAACATGCAGGCCTCTCAGTAGGGCCCTGTCTCAGTATGCATGTACACAATAAGGCAGATTAACAGGGCATTGGACATCCACTGTAGCATTCCTTTTGCATCACAGTATTAGCAAAAGAGATGCTTTCAATAGTTTTAGAATTTGCAGTTTCTTAAAAAGACATTTCATTATGGAGGAATCATCCTGAGATGCACATGTATTTCAACATTTTGCATAAAGTAGCACAAGAGCTATTCCGATTTCTTTGGCTACAAAAGAAATGACTACAAGACAGATGCAGTCTTATACTTTGCCAGTTGTATACCTAGTTATTTGCTAAATGGCAGGAAAGTGATGAAAATCAAATTTCCTAGGATTTGTTTGTTGACTGAAAAACACAGACTAGAGTATTAAAGTAGTATAGCCAACTACAGCTTCCTCACCTTCCCACCTCCCAAATTTAAAAAGTTGCATCTGATGTATTACAGACAGACCTGGGGTTTACCTGAGTTCTGCCTCAACTGTTGTATATCCTTCTACAAAAAATGAGTTTGAAGGTCATTACTGTGAAACACAGCCAAGAAATGCATAGGATTATATCACTCCACTGTGGGGAACATGATAAGAAACGCTCCTAGCTCCTCTAGCCTCCTTCTTTGTGGCATAGTATTCGAAGCTTAGAGGATGAAAGGGGTTTCTGGTTACGTTTTTAGCAGTTGCTACTTTGTATCTTGTGCACCCTGGTTGGGGAGCTTCGTGGAAAGATCCAATTAGAATCATAAAAACATAGAAGTTAGGATTGGAGAGGACAATAAGTTAATCTAATATCAACCCCCCTACCTTGGGCAGGGACATCTCGCACTAAACCATGTCACCCAAGAACTCCATCCAACCTGGCCTTGAATGCTGCCAGGGATGGAGCATTCAGACAGCCTGTTCTAGTGCCTCGCAGTAAAGAACTTATTCCTTACATCTAACCTCAACTTCCCCTGTTTACATTTGAGCCCATTATCCCTTGACCTATCACTACAGTCTCTAATGGAGAGTCCCTCCCCAGCATGCTTATAGGCACCCTTCAAACACTGGAAGGCTGCTATGGGGTCTCTACACAGATTGTCTTCTCCAGAATGAACAGCCCTGACTTACTCAACCTGTCAATTTTTTTTTCTGTGCTCTCCCTGGCATGCCTTTGGCAGCATCAATATCCCTCCAGCTGTAGGCTTTGTGGCTCCCTAAACCATAAACACATCCCTAACCAGACCGCTAATTTGTGTGACATCTTCAAGCTGAGGCTTACATCCTCCAGCTGAGTAGGTGTCCCAGATGAAAAAGGTGTTGATGGAACAATGTTGGTGCAGTGTCATGCTCCCATTGGCATGATTTTTCCAGCCCTAGTATCCTAAGAGCTGTAGGCTTTGTGGCTCTCCAAATGCTGACTCTAACCCCAATTTGCCTGGCATCATGGATCTGAGGCTGACATCTTCCAGTTGAGTGGGTGTCCCAGATGAAAAAGGTGTTGAAGAAGCAATGCTGGTGCAGTGCCATGCTCCCCTTGGCATGCCTTTGGGAGCCCAATTTATTAGGACTCCAAATACTGGAACCAGTGTTCGTTTGGGTTTTGTGGAGTTTTGTTTGTTTCAATTTTTCCTTTCCTTAAAAAAATCAAACTTTTGCAGTTAGACTCAAATAGGAAGTTCAGGGAATTTACTGTGATCAACTCTATGGGAACAGCAAGATGTTTTTTCCTGTCAAATTGTTCTACTCCAAGTCATGGAGATGCTACAGCGTTTTAGGGAAAATGGTAGAAGATAATCTTGAACTTGGTGAACAGTTCTTGTTGAAATATTAAAAGAAAATCTGAGGCAAATAGGTCACAGAGCATATTGGACATTCCAGCCCGGTTTTGCAAAGTTATTAGCAACGAAAGAGGGGGTTTGTTTTAAAAACTGACAGGTATCATCAAATGCAAGTATGAATTCCAGATACAATATAAGCCTTAAAAATAATACATTTTTACATTTGCTTTTCTAAATTATTCATAGATACTTTAATACAAGTCGTCACTGCTTGTACATTGTGATATACACAAATGGTACAACTCTTCTCCCTCCGTTTAGAAGGTTTGAGACCTCATGGGTCCTTCTCTCCCTGTTCCAAGTAAGATAGCTTTATTGAATAAAATGAAATTACAGTGGTACAAAACAGACTTCCAAGTCAGCTCCTGGTTCCAATCCTGGTTCCAGAAACTCACCCACAGCTAAAGATTAGTCATTAGCTGCACAAAGATGATCTAAGATGGCTAATCCATCATGTTTGAGAAATTGCAGCAGTCCAGTGAAATTTCCACTGACTGGAAAAGGGGAAATATAGCCCCCATGTTTAAAAAGGGTAAAAAAAGTAAGACCAGGAGAACTACAGGCTGCTTATTCTCACTTCTGTGCCCTTCAAGATGATGAAGCAGGTCCTCCTAGAAACTATGCTAAGGCACAGAGAACATGAGGAGGTGATTGGTGGCAGGCAGCATGGCTTCACTAAGGGCAAATCATGCCTGACTAATCTGGTGGCCTTCTACCACAGGGTTATGGATTTGGAGAGGGAAGAGCAACTGACATCGTCTACATGGACTTGTACAAAGCATTTGACAATGCCTTGCACAGCTTCCTTGTCTCTAAACTGAAAAGCATGGATTTGACAGATGAACCACTCGACGGATAAGGAATTGGCTGGATAGTTGCCTTAAGGTATACTTTCTAATCAGAAGACAAACGTGCGTCCCAACACATTTTCTTTTTACTAATCATGATTACAAATTACCAAACTTTCTCTAGATTTTTTTGATATATGCAATATATTACTAACTGGGTAAGACAAAGTAAACATCATGTTTAAGAGATACAATGCTGTTAAGGCCATTCACTTGATTCTATTCATAAACAGCCATGCTACAATTTCACTTTGACTTTGTCTTACCACTAGAGCGTTTCCACAGGATTCTAAAGTACTCAGATTGATGATGAAAATGACCATTGCCGGAAAGGTGTTGTTATTGATGAAACCCCTGCAGTGGGCATCACCATGTTTCCCATTCAGCGCCAGATCTGTCTCAGAATAGCCAGAGAAAAGAACTGTGCAAAAATTTATCTTCATAGTAATTGTCTGTACTCCACAGAAAACATTGATATCTCGTTCAGCTGTGATAAAAATACAGGAAAAGGCATTGTAAGATGATGTATTTCAAGTAATCACCATGTAATTATTGTAGCAGTTACTCTACTGTTGTAACTTCTGATCAAATAAATTTTTAGACCCCAGTTAAGGCAAAATATTGGAATATAAAGGTCAGAATAGCATTATTAAAAAAAAAAAAAAAGATTTGACCCTACAACTTCAGTAAAGAAAGCACAAGAATTAATATAGTAAAAGAGTCTACCACACAAAACATAATTTCAAATTTCCCTGGCAAATCATTTAGTAGCATATTCATAAGCCAAAGCACTGCAGTGTAGCAGGAAACTGCAAGTGAATAAATATTTGGAGTCCAGTTAAATTCTGGAACAGAAATTCCCAGTGATATTGAGAAACTGAGGAGGCTAAGCTCTTCATTCTAACCCACCTGGCACGGAAATCAGATGCATTTGTCTAAGCCGGTCTGGAGGCCATTTTGTATGATACCACTGTCTCAGGCTGTGCAGACTTTGAGGTATAATCAACAGTGTATCAGAGGAATTTATTATGACATCTTTAAAGTTGGGGGCTTTTTTAAGAACCATCAAGTTTAGCTTTACTGAAAAAGCAGTTGACTTTTGAAAGACAATGATCAATACTACAACACATCTTGCAATCTTTCATTCTGTACATTATGATAATACAAAAGACCTAGAAAACAGCAGTTGTTACAATTGATCAATATTTTAACAGCAAAAAACCCTCTTGCATGAACCTGACCTTTTTTTAAAAAAAAAATAAAAATAAATAAGTTCTGAACATTCTTATGTACTCGAATGGAAAAGCATGAGGTTAGGATACAGGCGCAAACAATAGTTCATTTTGCTTTAGAGCTATAACAGAGTTTTTCTATAAGCTCTTCTCTGCGTGTAGATGACTGGGAGAGGCTATTTCTTGTTTTTCCCCGTAGTGCTTTACAAGAAGACATACTGCATCATGTTAAACACAAACATTACTCCTTTATATAACAACTCATTTATTACACCTGTTTAAAGATTAAGTGCTATTAAAAATTGCAGAACAACTTCAGTCAATACTATACCATAAAGCCTGTGGAAATGAATTGTTTCACTGCACCCTCACAACACAGAAGAAATGAAATCTTCATTATAATCAGCTAGCTCTTCCCTCACAGTACAGGAGAGCAAGCAGTTCAATTTAGACAGCTTTAATGGTGGCTTTAAAGCCAAAATGATCAAGTGCAGGAAATAACAGGCTGAACTCAGTCCTGAGCTAATGTGGTGATTAAATGTTACTCACTGGGTGGAAATGAGGGTAGAAAAGGTAATGGAGGCAAGGTGTGGAGGCTGAAGTGATTTGGCATGAAAATCTCCTGGTTTGTACATATAATAATTACACCAATGTAACATATAAAGGTCAGGAAGAAGCACTCCTTGGTTTTCACTACATGGGGACTGTTACGATCCATTTAATAGGTATACTAAGATAGAGGGTACAGTACAAAAAGGCAAATGACAAAGTGTGCTGCTACACTTACTTGAACCAATGAAAACAGATTGTAATAAATTGCAGGATGCAATTATAAATAGCTCAGTTAATTTTATAACTCACTTCAACCCTTTTAAAAAGCTGGATATTACTTTACCTGTAAAGGTATCATTACTGTTTGTAAAATTCTCGTTTGACACTAAAGGGAACAAGACCATACACAGTACAAAAACAATATTTGTGTTATACGGGAGGATAAACAGCCTTTTCAGACAGAACCTTTTCTGTCCACTACTTTACAAGGAAGTACTGTTGTCAAATTAGTCCATTCTGGAACTACTACAACAGTATTTGTTCAGAAATTAATTTGAAACCAGATTCAAACAGATCCAATGTCTCTTTCAATACTAAATATCTAGCTTATTTCTTGTCAAATTAGAAAGGTAAATATTACCCCTATATATCATAGAAGGATTCGGCTTAGAAGGGACCTTAAAGATCATCTAGTTTCAAACCACCCTGAGATGGGCAGTGACACCCTCCCTAGACCAGGTTGCTCAAAGTCCCATCCAACCCAGCCTTGAACACTGCCAGGAATGGGGCAGCCACAACCTCTCTGGGCAACCTGTGCCAGCACCTCACCACTCTTACAGTGAAGAATTTTTTCCTAATATCTAAATCTACCCTCTTTCAGTTTGAAGCCATTCCCCCTTGTCCTGTCCGTACACACCCTTGTAAAAAGCTCCTCTCCGGATTTCTTGTAGGTCCCCTTTAAGTACTGGAAAGGCTGCTATCAGGTCTCCTCAGAGCCTTTTCTTCAGGCTGAACATCCCCAGTTTCCACAGGAGAGGTGCTTCAGCCCTCTGATCATCTTCATGGCCCTCCTCTGTACATATGGGTAAGTTTAAATTAAAAAGTAATGCATTAATGCAGTAAAAGCTTCTGGTTTTCAGAGTAAAGCAGGACCAATGGCTTGAAAATTAGATCACCCAGGTGATGGAACTTCAAACGTTAACAACCTCTTTTTTATAGAGTTTGCATGCAGGCAAACCACTTCTGACTCAAATGACACAAGATACCTATAGTCAACAGTACTCACAGGGGTGTCTCGTTCAAAGCAGAGCAAAGTTCAAGAGTTGCAGATACTACTGTAACAGAACTGACCTTGACTCAATGACATGAGAACACAAGCTAAATGCTGACAGCTGCGCTGCCTACTTCTGCTCTAGTACCCTTCTACACATTGCTAAGACTCACCCCAGAGCAGGCAGTGAAAAACCTGCAAAGAGCAAAAACTTCCCACAAACACTCTTGTCAGCAAGTCATTCCACCAGAAGAGGTGTGCAAAGACACAGTTCAAGCTCAGCTTCTTTGCATGAGCCTCCTCTTTGATCAAATTGCTGCTTTGATAGTGAATTAAAATGCACAGTGTACATGAAAAAGCTGCAGTATTTTCTTAGCTTCTACTAAGTTCTCAGCCTGTACTTACAGTAAGAGCTCTCTGTACCAAAACTGTGCTTCCCATCTGAAGACAGCCAGACTGCTGTGGTTCTCTCCTTCAAAAGCCTTTTTAAAAAGCTATGCTTTACTGCAATGAAGAACTAAAGCACTTTTCCCCAAGTAATTCTCTGAAGGATGACAATATCTAACCTTATTAAATAGTCTCTAGAACATATCTAGCTTTTAGTATAAAAAACCCACAGAATTTTCAATCTACCCAACAGGTTTTTTCTTCATCCCTGCTGATTATTCCATACTGACACCCTCAAACAAACCTGCGAACTGCAGGAACAGAAGTCCTGCTTGCGAATTTATCTTCCTATTTATGAAGCATCATCCCCAAGCAAGAAGTCACCTCAACAATGAATGATAAAGACACAAACAAATGAAAAATGGATGAGCTCCAAGGTTCCTTTAGGAAGGCTTAGTTTCTCATCATTGCTAAAGACAACTTCTCCAAAAAAAGAGCAGAAAACTTAAAAATCCAATGGCTTCCCTGGTATCTGCATACCACAGACCTCAGTAAGAAAGGCATTCTCATGCCATGTTAGAAATTTCAACTGACAACAATGAAAAATCTTAGTGTGAAAAAAATATGGACCAAGAAGAAAGTTTACCCATAACCAGGCTCTGCGAGCAGTAGCTTAGCATGGAGAGATACTTGGTTTGAAATGTTCTCATGTTTTATTTCTGCCACTATTTCCCTTATATTTGAACTCTGAAGGCAGTGAACGTAGCACCCTCAAAGGCACAACTTTGAGGCTGAGTCAAGCACTGGGGAAGCAAACGTAGCAAGAATGAGTCCCTTCTCCCTGAAGAGGCTCTCTCACCTGTGTTCTGGAGCTCTTCAACCCAGGAAACAGAGCTGCAGCAGCTTCACTCAGCTCCAGAGCCCTAGCCCATTACATGGCATTCCCATTTGCCTACTGAGAATAATGCCTGTCAAATTCTGGGACAAAAGGTTTTAACTTTTTTTTACTTCTATCTATCTCAAATGCAGAATTACTTTTCTTTTCTAGCTCTCAAAATCAGCGCTAATAAATTCCAATTCACTGCCTGACATCACAAGCAAGAAAGAGCAGGACTCTACTCTCAGCAACTATGGGCAGTGTGGGGTGATTAGCACTTACTTGTAACATAATTTTCTCCCAAGTCCCTGAGATTTGGCAGACATGGAATCTGAGATGACTTTTTTTTTTTTCTTGGGGGGGGGGGGGGGCAGTGAGGCAGAACTGCAGGAGGCCCCTAAACACCCACAGAAAGAGCTGTATTCAATTCATCGGTATCACATTGCGAATATAAAACTATGGCACAGGGCTGGTGCAAAAAAATGACCAGAGAAAAATTGAAAAAGGACAGAAAGAGGAATCTAAATTTCCCTCCAGTTGTTGCAATCCTCTCAAGAACAGAAAAACAGTTACATGAAAAGCTACAAAAGCTAGATCTGAGAAGGGTGGGCACTATTCACACAAACATTCGAAGCAAGCCTGTATAAGTCTTACTTTTAAGAAGGGGAATATATAAGCAGTTTGTGAAATACTCAGTTAAACAGAGATTTTGTCAAGGATGGGGACAACGTATTTGATCTTCTTTGCATGCCTTATTTCTCTGCTCTTCATATTCACGTTAAGTGAAAAAGAATCAAATCCACTGCCAACAAAGTACCTAAAAGTATGGTGGCAACACAGGACGCAATAAACAGACTGTAGGCTTTCTGCTGAATTAAGTTTAATAAGAGAGCTGCCCCTTTCTAGAAAAAATGAAACAAAACAATAAAAAGTGAAAACTATTCTAATTCAGAAAGCAACTACATTGAATGGTATTACAGGGTAATCCTATACTGAGAGTTCATCACTATACTGTTCAGTTCAATTGCTGTCTCAGAATACAAGATGTGAGCAAGCCACTATTCACAGCCATTATTATTATTATTGTTCTGCCTAAGAAACAGCAGAGGCAGGAAGGATAAGCAAAGTAACAGTGAGTAAAAGTTCTCTTTAGCTGAGTGAACCCTGAGACATGTTACTAAACCTGACATTTCTTTTCTATTTCTCACTGTATTAACAGGTCTGGACACCTAGTGTCTCCAAAACATCATTCCTATTTTCTCAGAGGCATGAGTGTACATCATACATAGATACATGCAATTTAATATTGAAATGCAGCACTAAATTCTGCCATCAACTTCATTTTGCTCAAAAATAGATATTTCTTTATTTCAATAAAAGGACATTAAAATATTCTCTTACCCAGATAAAACATGAAAGAATACCCAACTAGATGTTTCTGACCCAAATCTATAGAAAATATTTACAATAACATGATTTTCTGGTGAATATCTTGGTCACTAAAGATGTGGCAAAAGCAGGTAAAAGTCCACTGATATCAGGGGGGTTGTTCTGATTACTACTAATTTGAACCATTGTGCAAGTAAGTTGTTCTGATTACACTAATTTGAACCATTGTGCAAGTAAGAAGTAAAGCAAAGCACAATATTAGAGGAGTTTCATTTTCACCAAGATAGTTAATCCTCACTTAATGTGGAGTCCTGCCCCCAGGCTTCAGACAGATTTAAAGCTCTGCATTTAAAATCAAGCACTGCTTTGAACCAAGGAAATAAAGAAGCCATTAGTAAAAAAGGGCTATTAAACACTTACCGGGAAACCTGCTATGGAGGTTAGCATCACAGTTGTATCCATTGAATTGAGCAGTCACTGAAAGCACTTTAATCGTCAGCAGGAGCACTAACCATATCTGTTCCATTGCAAAACCTAGCAAAACATTAGGTGGTTACTACATACATCTGTTCATTGCATTAAAGATGCTTACTGCAGACATTTAACCACCTGAGAGGTGATGGCCTCCTGCAAATGGACTGAGGATAAAGCTCAAAATCTTATGCGAAAGAGGCCACGAGCAGCAGGGCCCATTTCTCTACTTCTGAGTAATGTACAATTTCTATTCAGTTCTACATCTTCTAATCAACACTTGTGGCAATAAAAGCACTTAATGATGATATAAAAGGAAAAAAAGTCTGTAAAATATATCAATAGATTAGGATCGCTTAAACTCCAACAGCATTTTTTTTTTTTTGTCATTTCAGTGTAAAAATTCTTTGAGAAAGGCACCTCGGAACATTAGATTTGTTGTAGCCAAGTCCTTGAAAACCATGCAGATAAACGGCTTGCTGACAAATTCTCAGGCTCAAGGTCCTAGAATAAAAATCAGTTCATAAATACTTGCCAAAAATCTGTTCTTTTAAGCATGCATGCAATGGCAGTGAACTTACGTACAGAGTCTGCACATACTTGAATTGTATCTGGCAAATGGACCATGACATCAGAACACTGCTTACTAGTGTCTTTAGTAACTATTCCTCTTGGAAGGAAAACTCCAAGGTGTAATACGTGTGGTATTCAGTGCAACCAAAAACCAAAATGTAATTCATGCTTTTGTGAAAAATATCCCAAAATATTGAGATTTTTGTCCATGAATCGAAGTGTCTATTAATTATTATTATAAGACTTTGGAATCTTATGAAATATTTCTGCTAATGTAGACCTCAAATGCAGCAATGCATTTGCCTAGACAGAAACTGAGCAATTCTAAGATTTAGGAGTCTTGCTTTCTCTAAGACTACAGACACAGATAATGATCACCACCTTTCTCCAAATGGACAAAAAGCATTCATAAACTCCATAAATGCAGCACAGCTAACACAGCCATACCCTGCATGGCAAGAAGCTGTTACGCATTGCAGAGAAGAGCTGACAACATCACACTCTTATCTGTACCTTTTATAGCTACACAGCAGTCTGAGCTCATCTGCTCAAATTAATAGAAAAGCGTACACTAGCTTTCAAAACAGGCTCAGAGTTCACACACCTGGAATTTAAAGGCTTGTGTTGAAAGATGACCCATAGAAGACACTCCCAAGTGCTTCTTGTCAGCAAACAAGCCAACTACAGCAAAAAAGTCAAAGGCATGTACAAATTCTTGGCCATTTACTCCTGCATAATTCTGCTTGGAAGTCCACAGAATAAAAATAAGAAAATTGGAAATGCCAGCTTCCTGCTAAGCCTGCATGTTTTCTAAGTCAGGTATAACTTCTAATACCATATTCAAAAGCTGTTTTGCTACCAAGGCCTGCACAGCTTCCCCAAAGTGTGATCTATGGCAACAGTGCAACCTCCTTTCAGTTTCAGGTAGATATAAAACTCTAAATGAAAGCACTCTTTGACCTTCTAATCCTTTTCCATTAGACTCTTGTGGCATTTGACAGCACCTACAGCTAAAGCTGGTGAAGAACTGTGGAGACATAAGAAAATAAATTTTCTAACTATGTTGCTATGAGACTTCTATATTTTCATGATCTCACCTTCTCAATTACTCTTAAGTGAAGTACGGTGGTCTTTTGTTTATTATGAAAATTCATACTTTATTTTGAAAGAAATATTTTTTCCTTTGGAAACCTGGCATTTCTCCAGTGTACTGGATCCTTATCTCTGCTTGTACAACAGTTATATCGATAAAGTGGCTATTATTGTTCTGTTGTATATGAGCTGGTTCCTGATGTCCATCACAATGATAATGTCCTGGGTTCAGCAGTAGCAGTCATTTTTTCTCCTTCTTGGTAGCTGGTGTAGTGCAGTGTTTTGACTTTCAGCTCGGGAACAGAGCTGATAACAAGCGATGTTTTGGTTTGGCCAAGGACTTTGTGAGCCTCATGCTCTGCCAGGGAGGAGGGGAAGCCAGGAGGAAGCAGAGACAGGACACCTGACCCAAACTGACCAAAGAGGTATTCCATACCACAGCACGTCATGCCCAGGATGTAACGGGGAGTTAGCCGGAAGGGCTGGGAGACTGCAGGGTTGGAGGAGGTATCGGTCAGAGCTTGGTCGGGCTGGGGGGGCAAGTTATCCGTCGGCTGGTGCTGAGGTGTTGTATTCTCTTCCCTTGTTATTTCCTTTATCATTATTATCACTGGTGGCAGCAGCAGTGATTTGTGTTATACCTTAGTTACTAAACTGTTCTTATCTCAACCCGTGGGAGTTGCATTCTTTTCGATTCTCCTCTCCGTCCCTCCGGGAGCAGGGGGAGGGCAAGAAAGGGGGGGGAAGTGAGCGAACGAATTACCTGACTGGGTTTAAACCACGACAGGTATAAATAAAGAGCAATTTACCAAGATCTAAGCTGACTTCAATTTTCTAACTGCCACAGTAATATTTACTATCAAATAAACACTGTTTGAAAAAATAATAATGAAAGATGACACTGAGAAAGCTGTAGCTGTTATTTTAGATGAAAAGAAGAACTTAAATTCTAAAATTTTAGTTATTAAACAACTTCTGCTGCTGTGTTTCAGAGAAATAAGAGATTACTACGAAGATACAAAGCTGAATTAAAACATTAAGTATGTATAAGATTAGTTCTCTAGCTGTATTCTGAACAAGACCAATTTTAACACAACCAGTAATGCCCTACTTGCTTCCTGTCTATTGACTCGTCTGCACATGGATCAACATGACCAGTTGAGCTGAATACTCCTGATTTCAGTTAACTAAGTTAGGAATATGCATTATTTTTCATTTCTCAAGAGAAATGAAATAGGGCTAGAAAGCACTATGAGAGGCCAATCTCACCTATCTGCCCACCCCAGCAGGAATCAAGGCAGCCATTCCTGGTTTTCCAGCCTGTTTTTAGAGGCCTCTGGCAATCTATTTCTCAATGGAAATTTCTAAAACTTCAGTTCCCCAAACATAAAAGGCATCTTAACCAAAAGGTTTATACTATATTGATATTGCTGAAAATTTCATCTGAGCAGCACAAAAGTCTTATCAAACTAGTGACAGAAACATCATAATCTTATTGTCTGTACATGAATATGAAATTAAAATTTCACGTAAAAAAAAAAGAAAAGGAAGATAATATACAAGTGTCAGGAATAGGGTGATTTATAATCCATGGGTCAAAATCATATGGAAGTTACCTACATATTCAGCATTGAGTTGCCCCTGCACATCTTACTGTTCTGTGCAGTGTATCATTGAAGAGTACAAAGGCTCGAGTTGCATCACAGTCTTTAAACTTAATCATTACCATTTTACAAAGCCATGACCCTTGTTTTCACAAACTTCACTATGTCAGAAAACTCCCACAAAATTCCAAAGACGCTTATGATTTAAACAAAAGCCATTTTTCAGTCAATTTAGGAACTTAGTTTTATGAAGAAACAGTGGTTTGGCCTATCTAGATTCCCTGTTCCTTCCTCTCTCACCACCCATTAATTTCTCTTCTTTACCCATCCTCTTTAAAAAGATCTTCAAAAATTTTCCATTGTAAAAAGCATTCACTATTTCCATTATACATTTTTATTGAAAATCATTTGTGAGACAGTTCTAAGTATTATATCAAATATTCATCCTGTTATCATGGTTATAGGATGTTCTACGAAAGCATCCTGTAATATTCTGCTTGTTCTTTATTTTTTATTCACAGGGTGTGGCAGTTTAAAAAACAAACAAACCCACCAAAAAACCAAAAGAAAAAAACATTTAATAGTAAAAATGAAAACTTCTGAGAGAAAATTATATATGCAAGAAGTATGTAACAAAGCTAGTGAAAAATGTGTTTTTATACATGTATTTTACATGCCTAAAATAGTTTCTTGTGTTGTTGATTTACATTTGCCTTACTGCCACATTTGCTTTGGTACCTGCACTCAAGTTGTGAATAGTTGTGAAGTACATTAAATGTACTGCTGTCAGGTCTTCTAGAGCCTCTTGTTTCTAGATGCATATTAGATCATTTGCTATCACTTAAAAGTAACTTGGTGAACAAAACCAGAAGACTACCTCTCTCTACCTCAAATTCTTCTGTTGAACTTTTTTTTAACTTGTACATGCAAAATATTCAGATAACATTTTCACTATTGCCTTCTACTTCATCGCCTTGGCTCTTCTGAAACAGATAAAATAGGACTTGGAACTTCACAGTATCTGTCTTGAAGACAAGGTTACCAAATGGTGATAATCGGCTGTTTTCAAAAGGATAATTACAGAGAAAAGGGCACCCAAGAGAAGAAGAATTTGAAGACACTTTTCAATTACAAAGTTTCCCTCTGGTTGTGGATTATCTTTGGAGCTGAGACTTTGAAACATAGCTTTCCTCTTCTTACACATTTCTGATTTCAGACTCTATAGTGCCATCCCATTTCTGACACCAAGCAAAACCTGCAAAGCTGAAAAAATACATACATGCAGACAAGCACACGCATGTATATACATGACATATATACATGGCACAGAGGTACACATATGTATCTTGAAGGTCAGCAATTTCCTAAGCAGAGGACTAAAGCTGATGACAGAGGAAAGCTATGAACAAACTGTATGTTCCCAAAAATACAGCATTTGAAGGTACACAAACCAGACGTATACACGTTAAATTATTACATTTGTTGTAAGGAAATAATAAAACTAAGAACAGAGTTCAGTTCACCCTAGAAAAACAGCTGCTTTTTTATTTTTGCCCCACCAAAAATAGTTTTGGTTCTATAGGTAAGCTAATACATTTCTCTTACAGCTATTCAGAATGCAAAGATTTGCAGTTGCAGACTATGCAAGACAGACACATACACATAGTCAGGCATAAAAATCGTTTTCAGCATCAATTATTTGGTCCTAGAATGACTGGTGTTTATTCACTAGTCACATATTTTTCTCCATTACTGAGATTTAAAAACAAGAGTCCTGAACTAGGTCCATATTACATCAGCTTTGTAATTAAATGTTGGGTCAAAGCTTGGAACCCCTCCTTAATCAAACTTCCATCAGAATCAAACAGGAGCTTTACACCATGAAGACTAAATCATAGCTAAAGTCTCAAATGCAAAGACATTCTGTGAATCAAGCAGGTGCTTGCACTGTCCAAAGAAAATGAGAGATGGGGGAACAAACTTTTGCTCAGTTTTGTAAAAGCAATACACAATGGTTTTGCTTTGGTTCTAAAATCTAAAAAAATTCTGGTTCAAATTTCCACAACAGGAAGCCGCACCAAAATCACTAGTATCACTAGTGAAATACAAAGACTAAATTTTCACCAACATGGGACACAGCAACTAAAATTCAAGACCATAAATTATTTATATGGAAACAATCTATAGCTTGCTTATGAATTTAAATGAAATAACCATTCTAAACCCTGCTGAACACCAAAATGCTTGAAAATCTAGATCTGGTTCCCAAAGACACTGCTCAGTCTTTTTTTGTGAATCTTACTACTGGTAGTGAGAATTAAATATGTATGTTGGGTAATTAATAGAAGCCTTACAGGCATGCTGTTGTTTTCATCCTACAAAATCAGTGAAAGGTGTGCTTCGAGAGACATGCACTAGTATAGGTCTATCTGGTGCTTCATCTCATAGCCTTGGATAGGCAAAAGCTCCAGCTGAGGCTGGTTTTTTGCCTGCTCAGAGACTAGGGAAATTTAACTGGTGTACCATACTGACAAAAAAAAAAACAAAACCTCACAAAATAAAACCCCACCCTCCCCCCAAAAAACCCAAACAAAAAAACCCACAACCCCAAAAAAGCCTCCAAAACCATTCATAATAATCTTTGAAACATTATACTTGTAATGATGCAGACACGCATCCACAACAAAAACTTGTCTGCACTGGGATTAAAAGAAATCTGGTCTGAAAAGAAATTAAGTTAACCACATATTTACAAGGTAAGAATATATGACTATATTAAGTATTTCCAAGGGATTTACATAAAGTAACATAATACCTTCTCTTCTAAGGAGAAAAACTGTTAACTGTTAGGGAAATACAGTTATTAAAGCATAAAAATACTGAACAACTAGTTGTTGAACAAGCCAGAGATCTTGACTTACTAGATCTATTTAAACTTACTCACTTAAGACTGTTGAAGTCATGGAGTAAACTGTTTACCTGTTACTCTGTGCTAAATATCAGAGTTATTCTAACTTTGCCTATATCCACTAGCGAAATACTAATATTCTTCAAATGCACCCCTTCCATTCACCCTGGTCCATAGTAATTTTACTTTAGTTACGCTTAGTAATAGAACAGCTAGATTTTACTTTAAATATTGCCAGAATACTTGCTTTGCTTTCCAACAAAGATGACTTCAGTAGGATATTTAGATCTTTCTTCCTGCATTTCACAGAAAATATTACTGAAACTTTTCCGGATATTTATTTTAACCTAGGAAATGATAGCATTTTCCAAATCTTGCCCATCTTATCATACAACGAATGTTCCTAAATATGTATTTGACAGATAAGCTAAAAAATTTAGAGGTTTTGTTCGAAATTATGTTTCTGACTCCATGGTTCCCAGATACCGCAATAAAATGTGAAAGCACAAATAAGTTTAATATTCCTGATACAAAAATGCACAAAAATCACATCTCCTAAGCCTCACAGGAAAGACAGATTTCTATTGTGTTTTTCTAACCTGCATGAGCTAGCCACTGTTTCCCACAGGACATTCATACAGATATGAAGTGGAGAATATTGTCAGTGAGAACAGATTTGAAAGGAAAGCATGTTTGAAGGAAGTGCTTTATGGTCAAAACTTTGGACCATAATTAAAGAATTTTGGAAAAAGTCTCCTCTCATTCACACTCTTCAGACTACATCAGAAAAACTTTGACATCAAGAGACCTAATTAAAAATAAAGGAAATTCAGGATAAGATTTTGAGGTTATTGCAGTGATCCGAAAAGATCATTCTAGCCCAAATTTGGAAGTTCTTGACAAAAAAAGACCTCTTTTTAACCATTAGAATCCACATAATTTGACTTTTTGCACTTAGCTCTGCATTTCTTTAATCTTGTGTTTTAGAAGTTAGAATCTTTAGTGCAACTTAGCTGGAATCAAGATGAAATGCTAAGAATACAAACCTCCTGAAAACATAGATTTTTCTATTAAAGCCACTGCATATCTGACATCATAAAAACTAAAACATAAATTATATTGGATTTTCCACTTTTCACTTAAAAGAATATTTCTAGTAAAGAGTTTAAGCAGCCTAATTACAAAGAAAGTATCATCAGGTAACCACCAGCCATGCCGCACCCACCTACAAACTGGCTAATTCATATAGAAGTATCTGTAACGAACACTACTAGAGTGTTTTTAAGACATTGGCTAATTAATTTAATACTGAGACAAAATGGGCCAATTTTTCTCTGTTGCGGTTGTATTACATTGCATTCCTTTTTCACTTTCCGTGGAGACAGTGCAATTTCAAAATCACTGAGAGACTAACACAAGTCCAGGTTCATCTTGGACTGAAACACAAAAGCAATAATTACTTAAGTCCCTTGGACGGGAAATGTACAGAGAGTGTCCCTAAACCCTCGAACAAAGAGGTTGTTCCTAGGCTGAAACACATTCTCCAGACATGCACATTCAGTCTACAGATTTTCTTATCAGACCATTGATCATTATGGGGGTTCTATAGCTGAGCAAATATGCAGAGACTATCAAATCATTCGATATAGGCCATTGAAGAGTCATCGTATGCTAATGGCCTTCAGTTGCCTATAACCATGGTCTGGATTCAAACACACTGATCTAGTGGTGAGATGCTCTTAATCCTATATGCCTGCACCCCAGAGTCCAGCAGTCACATGGGCAGATAAAGATCTAAATGAGTATGACTCTAATTAATTACCCTTTTTATGCTTTTGAAGAGAGCAATATAAATATGAATCTTCAGTAAATAATGCTTGATGTCACTAGCAAGTAGATTATACTGTAGCCATCTGTTTGCAGCTTAAAAGTTACCAGTAAAATAAGACTTTCCTGGCAAAAAACAGCAACAGTTTATGACATCATGATTACTTCAATTTCCTTACTTTTAGGAACAGAAATCAAGCAGCAAAGTTGTAGAATCCTGCTGCAGTACAGTACAACCTTATCTAATCCTTAAAAGTTAAATAAATATGCAGTCAATAATGCTGCTAATATCTTGGTCTAAGAAAGCATGTAATATCACAGATTTCATAGATGCTGTGAAATCAGAGCTGTTACCAGATTTTTTTTAAAGAAAAATATATTTTAAAAAAGAAAGAAAAATCACTTCAATTGTGAAATAGAAAGATTCACTTGTGAATATTTCTTTTGCCATATTTCAAGTTCCTCTAATAGCCATTTTAGACTTAAAAGAAGTTTTGAGGTCCTTTTCAATTGAGGGGTACTGCCAAGACCTGGCTGAAAGAAAACAAGACATCACACATTGGTAAAAACATTCTTTGATCAAGATCTTGCAAGAATGGCTAACACTCATATCTTCTGCTTCTCTTAGACCATGACAGAGTTTTCCCCTGAAGTACACAAAGCAATTATATTAACTATGTCAATTTGGACTGTGTAAGTTCGTCAGTTTAACTGAAGACTTGATTTCAAATCCCCACTATTTTCATTCAAGAATATAGTCATTATTACTACTTTAAAAATAAACAAAGGTGGTGCAATTATTATGTCCTTTGTGACACCTTTGTGACAGGAGACAATGTAATTTCCAGTCAGCAAACCCATGCAATTCAGTTGCAGTGGAGCCAGGTAAGAAGTCTCACCAAACTTTTCCTCCGTCAATGCAGTGACTGTGGGAATAGGCTGACTGACACCACAAGTTGGATAACATTGCCTCCTTCAAGCAACTGATTGTTTCCATTCTGAGAGCAACATGAGTGGGCTTGACATACATTGATAGCCTCAGCACTGCAAGGGGTTTGTAACCTTCTTCCTCTCACATTAATAGTGTGAATCTGGCCTGTGTACCTGTAGGTAAAAGCCAAGTTCCACACACAAAAAAAAACAAAAGACAAAAAACAAACAACAAACCCAAAAACAAATGAACAAACAAAAATAACCTAAAACCAAAACCACAACTCTTCACAGCTGAATGCCAATTTGCTAATTAATGTTTTCATTAGCCATTCCTTGCATTTGTCTTCCCTGACAAGCTATTCCTACTAAGATTTCCAAGTGAGATTAAATTTGTCTGACAAGTGATAAACTAAGAATTTTCTTTAAAAGGTCACAAATAATTTGATACTTACCAATATTTTAGTAAGTTCTATTGGCTGACATGGTGGGCACTTACCCAAATCCCCTGTAGCTGTTGAGTCAGCTGTACTCCATCTATCTTGTGCTGCTGCATGTGATCAAATGTTTGAATCCTCTGCATTGCAGAACTTTTTCAGAAAATACTCTGAGCCTGTGGATGGGGGGAAAAGGCACATTCATTATGAAAATTCTTTTTAAAATAGGTCTGGATTTTAGATGGGAAAATTTGACAGGTCTCAGAATACTTTACAAGCCTGTTCATCATTAGACTGAAACCTGAGCAGTCTTTATGATGGATTTTTTCAATCCTCTGCCTCTTTTTCTTGCAGCCTTTTGATCTGCTTCCCTCTACTTGTATGATGATCTTCAGAGGGCCATGTGGGGCAAACAATCAACCTAGAGAAATTATTCTGTCATCAACTTGTTGAAAGAAAACCTTGTCTGTTTGAAGAGAGGGGTGGGAGGAAGGAGAGAGATGGAAGTACTGAGATAGGATCAGTAACTAAGCTGCAAGGTTATCAATGGCCCATTGTTCATTGTGAGAAGTGTCTTTTTTCTTTTTTTCTGATTCTGGGCTAAATTCTTAGCACTAAACAAAACAAAAGCAAAAATAGTGACATTTCACACTGGGATGAAAATGCGATATAGGGGTGTCATCATGAATACAGGTGTCAACAGAAGTATAATTACCAACAGGACATCAATGCTCGCAAAGCCAAGCGCACACAAAAGCAAAGATCAAGCTGCTAGAAACCAAACCTGCCTCATAATATCTACTCCCCTGTCTCTGGGATTTGGAGGAGGCTACGGGAGAGGTGTTTAACTCCCTTTTGTTGCATGAGTTTTTAATTCTTCCTTCTTTCTTCTTTTGCCCTCTCCCTTCAGGGGAGGGTTTTCTATTGCAGCCATCCGTATCTGGAAGTTTTTGTTACACCTTTGGTGAGGATAACAGTAGTTTTGGCTCCATGAAGATAGCTTTGAGGTAGCTGGATCTGCTGGGACTCAGAGCTGGCTTTTGAACAGAAAAGCCCTGCCTCTGCCATGCCATCACTTCAGCCAGCTTCTCTTATACATCAAAGCACTGCAGAGCACATCGCGCACATTCATGGTAATCGTGGCAGCCACAGATGAGCAGCCATGCCAGAACCAGCGTGACATTATGTACTAACATCCACTCCTCATGTTCCTACCATGTCAGGGCACTGACAGAAGAAAGCAAATTTGACACTGAAGCATCCTACAGAGGCACAGTCCTTGATGAAGGAGCTCCTAGATGAACCCTCGCAGGCTCATGGGTCTGTATATCCCCTGCCTGCTCTTGGTTTCTCTGGAGGCAGTGGGTCGCTCCACTCCCATTCCCTGAGCTACCCCTACGAGTCACCTCCATATGTGGGAGGTCAATAGCCCCACTGCACAGTGGCACTGCATGCAGCTCCAGCAGAGCTGGGCAAGATCCATTTCACCTCCCTCTCAGTGATGAAAGGAGGTGACCACTGCACACACAACCTCTGCACTAATGAATGGCAGGCCCCACCTGGCCACTCCAGACGCAGTGAGGAGAACCCAGTGACCCCTTACTCAGGCAGGCAGAGTTTTTGCCATTCCCAGCTGGAGTTTTGCTCTAGGAAAGATCAGTCTGTAAGAGTTATACTTTGAAGTCATCAAGTACCAAAAGGCCCTTTACATCTGCAAATTTCTAGTCCTTTATATGATTTTAATGTTGCTTTGGCTGGGTAAAGACTCGAAACCTAAATCCAACTTATGAATAATGTAATAAGTCTTGGATAGGGCAGCCTTGAACTAATATAAAGATAAACCAAGAGATATGCAGCAATGACATGTTCCAGTCTTTTACTTCATATTAAGTGTTCAGATGGTTTTGATACCTCATCACAAAAATCCACAATGAAATATCTTAGTGTAATATCAGTTTCACAAACAAGAGTGTTTAAAGCACGGTCTGCCCTTGAGTAGGTTTTCAAAATGGGAATATCAATTTATTTTTGCAAAACTCTTATAATATCAAAAGTCACCCCTTGTGTCTAGGTCTTCAGATGAGATTATTAAAACCATCAAATCATCCTAAAACAGCGTGTGTAATTTCTGTTTCCACTGACAGCGAGTACAGCTTCTGCACATCTCTTTCTTCCCTCCATAAGGATATACACACAATGAAATCCTGATTCAGCATCACAACTGTTATCCCATCTTTCTCTTGCTGCAGACTATGCTTTTCAGTAACTAAAGGGGCAAAGCACCAGGCTGCAGGACAGATAATTATACTCCGAAACTCACAGAAGCAGCTGGCCATCTGTGCTGGGTTCAGCAGTAGCAGTCATTTTTCTCCTTCTTAGTAGATACTTCAGTGCTGTGTTTTCAACTTTGGGAACAGTGCTGATAACACCAATGGTTTTAGTACTTGCTAAGTAATGTTTACTCCGATCAAGGACTTCTTCAGTCTCATACTCTGCCAGGGAGGAGGGGAAGCCGGGAGGAAGGAAAGGCGGGACACCTGACCCAAACTAGCCAAAGGCATATTCCATACCAGAGCGCTTCATGTCCAGTGTATAAACTGGGAAGAGTTACCCGGACATCCCAGATCGCTGCTCAGGTCCGGCTGGGTATCAGTCAGCTGGTGGTGAGCAGCTGTATTCTCTCCCCTTGTTATTTCCCTTATCATTATTATTATTGGTGGTAGCAGTAGTGGTTTTGTGTTATACCTTAGTTTCTGGACTGTTCTTATCTCAACCCATGGGAATGATGTTCTTTTGGTTCTCCTCCCCAGAGTGGCGAGGGGGGAGGAAGAAGGGAGAGAATGAGAAAGCAGTTGGGTGGTTATGAGTTACCGGCTGGGCTTAAACCACAACACCATCTCAGCAGCTCTCTCCCCACAGGCAATAAGAGCAGCTTGGCTGAGGTGAATGCATGTCCACCTGCACATGTGTGAGCAGAAGCAGGTTAAAAGCTGACTGGGCAGTACAGTGCACAGTGGCTGCATCATAGCTATAAGTAGCCAGCAAGACCAGCCTTCATCCCAGCAGGTGACATCAGGTACCCCTATGGAAATTATTGCTGACATACCTCTCTCACTGTACGCTTCTCCGAGAAAGAGCAATTAACTAGATGTTCCCAACCTCAAACAGCTTTCACAAACTTTTACAGCTTTTACAAGCACAGCAGTTACCCCCTCAATATACCAAAAATCCATAGATAAGGGGGAAAATAGCCTCAATGTCCTATCAGTAAGCGTTTCTTAGAGAAAACAATCAAACATCATATCTCAGTATTTAGTAAAAACAGGCACTTCACTGCTATCACACCATACTTATAAGTGATCTGAAAGTTATGCCACACGCACCCAAAAATCCAAAGTTCCGCTTCAAGTTCTGTATAAATAATAGAGAATTCAGTAATTCCACTGCTTTATAATGTACTATTTATCTACTCTTTGCATTTAAAATAAAACTGTGAATTCATTAGCATGGAAAAACAAAACAAACCCAAGTATTTCACCATTAATCCTTGATGTAACATGTTCCCGACTATTTAATTTTCTAATCTTACACAGTTTATGCATAAAAAAATATTTTTAGTCTGTATAATGTTCAAGTTTTTCAAATTTCAGTATGTTTTCAAACAGTTATTTTGCCCAGAATAAATGTAAGAACACAGTGTTATGAATAGATGACAAGGAGCTTTCCAAATGTCTCTTAATCACAGTGAGATTAACCTTGCTCATTTCCAAATTCAAACCTGTCTCCAACCCATAAATCCCTCTGCCTGTCTCACTATTTTGTGTATTATTTGAGATCAGATAAGCCGATTCTTCTAAACGGTAATTTTAGAGATGTTTAGACACAGTCTAATTACAACTTTTTTGCAATTAACATCTAAGGAGCTTTCTGTTTTCATACAGAAGGACAGACAAAAACTATAAATAAAACTATTTCTCCTCTCCTCCAGGATTTGGAAAGCCCCCCACTCACCCACAATTTCTTGTTACCTAAATACCTGTAAGGAGACATAGTGGTTGTAGGAGAATAAAAAACTCAATAGAAGAGAAGAAATTCCAAGGGCAAAGTCAAAGATTATTAACCAGTTCCTACACAACCCAAATTCTACTAATTTGCCCATGACATTACTTCAGAGTTTGACAGACTTCTCCTAATAATAAAAATAATAAAAAAGATAAAGAAGATTATAATTATTTATGAACTAGAAAAAAAAAGAAAAATATTTTCCTTCTGTTTTCATCACTATTATACTCATATAGAAAGCTCTGGAGCTATCTTAGACTTCCTTTTACCAAATTTAAGCCAATATCAGAACTTCACCATTAATACCAAATTACACAAAGCTCAGCTAGATTGCTAGGGTTTTTTAAACACAGAGGAGGAATAAGGTTATTTCAAAATAAGACATTCTTCAACTTTATAAGTTATATAAAATTTCCATGCTTGGTTCAAAAGTGAAATGCTTTCCTCTCTTGTATAGGGACTCTGCCTTTTGGAGAATGATTTCTGAAGATTCAGTGTGATTGCTGGAGAGTCCATGAAATGGATTCCACAGCCTAAACAGCCTTTTAAGAAAAGAATTCAACCAAAGTGCATTTCCATTGTTTAGGAAAATAGGGAGTCTCAGAGGTGATAAGAGAAGTAGTTTAATCTTGCCATATATCTTATCTAGAATATACCTTAAATATTTCAAGAAGTTCAAGAAAAAAGGATGCCTAAAAACATTTCTGCAAGATAAAACACAACCCAGCAACCCTTTCCCACAAAATAACCTGTCAGGAGTCAGTTTATATTTGGGACATATATAGGCATATATAGGCTTATATGTCGGAGGGATCACAGGAATTTTTTCTTTAGATATTATCATCATCCACATACAGCTTTTATGTCCCCTCTTCCCTGCTGCTTTCCCAATCCAACCTACACTAGTTCTTTCTTACTAGTTCTTTCAATGAGACATTGGAAACCTCCAAACCCTCCCCACCCCTTCTCCAGTGGCTTTTTATTTCTCATACCTGTATTTATCTGCATTTAAAAAAATCCACACTTTTACTTTTTAGCTGTTTCTTAGTATTAAGCCTGTATTAAGCCCACATTAAGCCCCTTAGTATAAGCAATTCATGCTAGTACTCAGGTTTCTTTTCTGAAAGATTCAGAACCCATCTACTATATATTGGCAATTTATATCAGTCTTCCTTTACCTCAATGTGTGCTGTACCCAGAAGGAAAAAAAAAATAAAAATCAATACTGCAGAAAAAATTTCTCCCTTGTTATAATCAAATATACTCACACAAACTCACAGCTTAAAAATGGTCATGGCTATTTACATTACTGGCATCTAGAAAGAGTGCACACCAGTATTAAATAACTGAACAGTATTCAGCCTCAGAACCAACTAGTTCACTTTCCACCTTGCCAGGGCAATTGTAATTTAAATCTCTCTAATGCAAACTGTTAGCAGAAAAGGGAGCACAAGTGATAACAATTATCATGAAGTTGTGCTTGCACTGAAACATCACACAACCTAAATCCAGTTTATGCAGAGTTTTACCAAAGGCAAAACCATGACCTGAACAGATTGTAAATAACCCTGGTATCAGTTTCATCTGGGTACAGACTATAGAATTGTGGTATGTAA